TCAGTGTACCGCAGGCTGCGTCTTATTAAAATGCAAAGCATCGCAGTCACCTGTTGCTAGAAGAAGGAAGACTCCAGCGAAGTCGTCGAGGGAGAGAACAAGAGTCTTCACCCCGAACTCCTTCCCTGGCGGCACCAGACAAGTGGTGGCGTTGGAGGTCAGTTCGTCCAGGTTCCTGTTCACAAGACCAGACTCTCGCATCATCATCAGCCTGCAGGTGTTGTGTTTTCTGGAGTGATATTTCTCCCAAGAAACAATTAGGAAAAGGAAAATATTTAAGGGGTTTCAAGACCACTATGATTTATTTTCTCTAAGCATTATATGTATTAGATCCTGTCTACTTCCTGTTTGTATCTCCTTCTGTCTACTTGGGTTCTTCAATTATTTCGTCTTTCATTCTTCGTCTTTCACTAGTTGGTTCTGCGTTCAACTTTGTAATATTTCTTATTAACTTCGTTAAATTCATCTTTCTCTGAATATTTACTAACAAATTTAGATTCAGCAGTAGACAGACCAGAACTGAGCTGTATAATCTAAGTAAAGTTCTCTTAATGATAAATGATACACAGAGCTGTAGATTAACATTCGCACTCCTGTTGTTTACACTTATTTCACAAAAATCCATGAAATCTGTTTGCCTTATTACACACACTTTGGCACTGTTGCCCTGGGTTCAATTTTTTGTTTACCAGAACTCCCCATTTTTTTCACTTATTTATTGTATGGTGCTGAGTTGTAGACGTTCCAGCATGAGTTTAAGGGTAGTAGGGAGGGAGGCTTTAAGCGGTAGAGGCTTGAACATCCGGCAAGCGTGTGTGAGAGCGTGTTAGATTGAAATAAGGAAAAGTTTGTTTCTAGCCGGACTCGAGTCCTGGTGCTGGTAATTACAGTGCCTGGAATCAGGGAAACAAGTTAGTCGGACTCGAGTCCTGGTGCTGGTAATTACAGTGCCTAGAATCAGGGAAACAAGTTAGTCGGACTCGAGTCCTGGTGCTGGTAATTACAGTGCCTAGAATCAGGGAAACAAGTTAGTCGGACTCGAGTCCTGGTGCTGGTAATTACAGTGCCTAGAATCAGGGAAACAAGTTAGCCGGACTCGAGTCCTGGTGCTGGTAATTACAGTGCCTAGAATCAGGGAAACAAGTTAGCCGGACTCGAGTCCTGGAGCTGGTAATTACAGTGCCTAGATGCATTACATATCACTGCACAACTGTTCCTCAGTTTAGTGACTAAACTGAGGAATCATCGTCATGCCATAATGGAGGAATTAACGACAAAACGTTGTAAGGACAGTAAGCTTTGTCAAGCGCTCATAACGGCTTAACAAAGAGCCTGAGAGCGAAAACGTGTCAAGTAAAAGTCACATCAGTTGCACTGCGTCATTGTACAACCGCATGGAAAACCCGGACTTACAGTTATGATCTAATATGGTCAGGATTTAATATGGTCACGTTAAATATGTCAGGTTAATTGGCAGGTTTAGGTCAGGTTAATGTGGTCCAGGTTTTATGGGTCAGTTTAAATGGTCAGGTTTAAAAGTGGAGGTTTAATATGCAGGTTTTATTGGTAGGTTTTAATATGGTCAGGTTTTAATATGGTCAGGTTTTAATATGGTCAGGTTTTAATGTGGTCAGGTTTTAATGTGGTCAGGTTTTAATGTGGTCAGGTTTTAATGTGGTCAGGTTTTAATGTGGTCAGGTTTTAATGTGGTCAGGTTTTAATATAGTCAGGTTTTAATATGGTCAGGTTTTAATATGGTCAGATTTTAATATGGTCAGGTTTTAATATGGTCAGGTTTTAATATGGTCAGGTTTTAATATGGTCAGGTTTTAATGTGGTCAGGTTTTAATGTGGTCAGGTTTTAATGTGGTCAGGTTTATTGGTCAGGTTTTAATATGGTCAGGTTTTAATATGGTCAGGTTTTAATATGGTCAGGTTTTAATATGGTCAGGTTTTAATGTGGTCAGGTTTTAATATGGTCAGGAGTAGATCCAGACGTCTTCAGTATATCAGAAAATATTTTTGTGTGAATCATGGACTGGGACATCCACGGGATGACTTATTGCAGCCCCATTAATGTGGATTAATTGTGAATTGTTGCAACTAGGGTACTGTGGATTAGTTTTAAATTATTGCAGCCAGGGTTTTGTGGGATAGTTGTGAGCTGTTGAAGCCGTGGGTTCAAATGCCACCCGTACCGTGGTTTGAGAGATTTATCATTCTGGCTTATCCTTATGTAAGCAAGGATGCAGACAGACAAATAATAATAATAATAATAATAATTTCACTATGATACAATGTTTATTCAGAGATGGGTGACAGTTGTGTGTGTAGAAAGCCATAATAAAAGCTACGGTACTGGTGGGGATTGAACTCACGGCAAGTGAGTCGTAAAACTCCATACTCACTTGCCGTGAGTTCGAACCCCACCGTACCGTGGTTTGTTTGCAATCGTGTTTTTACGATTTCGTGAGTCATGATAAAACCCCGTAGTTATGCAAAGCATTTCAAGCAAATTACTTTAAGCAAGGAAAACCATTTTTTTTACCAGGTTTCACCTACAGTTTTAACTACGTGGATGAACTCCCATGTCTCCATGTAAGGCACAATAATCCTACTAGTTCCATTGATCGAGTCGGGTGTTTCAAATTGATGGACCCGATCGTCAAAAATACTGCTTAGAAACTAGGTCCATCATTTTAAAACACATCGAACCTATGACCCTTCCTTGACTCAGGCGCTGTTGTAAAATTATTGTATGGTATTTTTTTTTTTTACAAGTGCTTACTTACCACTTATTGATCTGGGAGACGAGGGCACTACCCTTGGGAAACACGAAAGCCATGGAGGTAGATGTGATGATCTCCTGGGCGATGTAATAGTTACATTCTCCCGTTAGGCTGTAGTCGTCGCTCATAACCTGGCATAAAATAAAAATATAATTGATTCGATAAAGTCATGAGAGCATCCAAACATTGAAAGGGAAAATATTGTATGAAAAAATATATGAATGCAGTATAGTGCTATCTTTTATTGACTTCCTTTGCCCACACAGTGGGTTTTATCGGGTCACGAATAGATTTACCTGAGTTAAGAGTACATGAGTATATGTAGTGTGGAGAGACAGGTGGAGAATGTTGGGTAGTTTGGATTTGAGACGGACCTGCATGGGACGGGCGCGTGGGTGTGTTGTTATGTTGGATAACTATGAATTACTTTCCTGGCAAGGGGTTTTACTATGTAGTAAAATCCGTTATTATGGTTGAAATAAGGAAGCTATTGAAAGAACTGAATACCTTACCTCTCAGGTGTCACTGTATCCCCGTATTTTAACTCTTACCTTACGAGCAGCTTCTCGGGCATAGATCTCTCTATGTATGTATGGTATACAGTACCCACAAGATGGAGAATTTGACACATGTGCAACACTGTATTGTCTCTTTAAGACTACGGTGCTCATTGCCAACTCCTTGACTGAGAGACTGATTACCTCGCTTCTCTGTTTCTTCGCTGACTGATTACCTCGCTTCTTCTGTGTATCAGGACTTCTTAGAGTCTTGTGGGATCCTTCCCTCCTGTCCGCCTTCTGCGGTGGAAGCTGGAGGCTGTGGACTGGAGGCTCTAAGAGACTATGCAGCACTCTTGTGTCCTTTGTGATTTTCATGGTGCACAGGGGAATTATGACTACTTCGTTATTGTCATGAGACTAGCATCTCATGGCCAGGTGGTTCGGGGTCCATTCTGCCGGTACTTGGTGGAACAAGGACTGTGAGAAGCAGCGGTACATTGCGCCTATCGTCGCCTCAGGAACCACTATTCACTGGTATGCTGATATACCAGCGGGTGTTGGCCATCAAAAGGAAGGCGTTCAGAAACGCTCAGCATACGTCCTGAGTTCGCTACATGAAGTTCGTTGACTCCAACATTCTTGGACGGATAGGAAATAAGATCAGAAGGATGTCTGGTAAATATTCCCCAAGCTGTGTCCAACCTTCTCTATCGTGAGCAGGTGGACAACCATTCTGAACTCAACACCTTTGAGAGTTTTTTCTGTCTCTAGAGTCGAGAGCTACAGTCATGAGTCTGTCCTGAAGGCTTTATGAGACTTTCCCTTTGCCCATTGTGGACAACACCGGAGAGGTTTGTCTTCTGTTAGGATTGGGAAAATTGGCGTTTGTTATATCAACACCTACTGCTCCGGGAGAGGATGGGGTTTATTACATGTTGCGATGCCATACCATTTCCCTTCCCCTCCCCAACGTTATTTATTGGTTAGATGTAATTTTATTTGGATAGGAGTGGTGCTGCTCCACAGTTGGCGATCTTGGGTAGTCAGAACCACAGACTAATCTCTCTGACGAGCTTCATTTGAAGTTGGGTTTTGAGGGTGAATGTTCGTCTCGTGTGGTACTGAAAAACGAAAGGCTACAACTTTTTGGTGTAGTTTGGCACCAGTTGACGACTGATTTCTTAGTTCAACTGGCAGGTAACACACAGGGTTTCGTCAGAGTCTTAATACCTTGTCAGTCTACCTGGACTTGTAGAAAGCCTACGACATAATGTGGAGGTACGGTGTTCTTCGCCTTCTCCAGACTGATACTGCAGGGTCATCTGCTCCGGTTTCTACAGTTTTTATCTAACTGATTTTTCAAAGTGTCTGGTTCGTGCTACTCGTTGTAGTTTTTCCCTGAAGTGGAAGGAAGGGTCCATTATGGCAGTGTTATAAGGCTCTCATATTTTATAACTGTGGATTGTGTGGTCATTATTATCCCTAGCGTCGAGGCAGCCTTGTTGAAGATGATCTGGGATGCCTGTCACCGAATTCTCCTGGTATGAGATATCACTGAGTAAGCTGCTTTTAATACCTACCAGTTTTTAAATCAAAGGATGGTGGCTGTTCATTTTACTCTGTCCCAGATTTGAAGCATGTTCCCGATGTGCTTCTCCACACGGTGTGGTCCTTTCCAATAAGCAGCAGGTGACGTTCTTGGAAATTATCTTTGAAAGTCGACTGACGTGGGTTTCTCATATCTCAAACTTGCTGCTCTGCCTGTAACTGACATTCTTAAGGTGTTCTCCTACCATACTTTGGGGTGGATCATAGGACCAAGTTTCACCTGCGTGCTGCCTCGTGCCGCTCCAGGATAGAGTATGGGTGTAATAGTGTTAGAATTATCGACAGTATTTTAGATAAACGTACACGTGCAGCTAATGCGACATTTTATTGTGGCAATGTTTCGCTCTCCAGGAGCTTTGTCAAGCCATTACAAAGAATACAAGGACTCAGAGGGTATATATAGGTAGCATGGGAGTATGGCTGCCAAACCTACTTACCAGTTAATTCTTTCCTGCTGCGCTTTCTTGATTCTGCTCATTACCTGGTGGTATATCCTTGCATGGGTGCATTTCGAACTCTCTGTAGAGAGCCTCTGTGTCGAGTCTTTGTAAGCTTTCCCTGAATCTCCACCGTGAGAAGATAAGATTATGCTTCCTTCTTCAGATCCATCACACACTTGGCAATCCGACTTATGCTGCGTTCTTTTGCAGGGGGAGAGAAGATGGGGACCCATTGGTCATTTGTGCCGCTTGGCACTAGATTGTGGGCGTCCTCTCCTGAATTGTGGCTTCAATGATTCTACAATCAGAGAGGCTGGTTTATTCTTCCCCAGGCCGTACAAGCGCACCTCTCTCATTCACTGCACGCCCTCTCCCACTACGACAGCTTGTTCACTTAACTCTTGGCAGCTGAATCAGTGCTAGATAGGTAACCCTCGAAGGCTGCCTATTGTTACTTTACACTTACGAGATATAGGAGACAGTAGATAAGTGCTTGTGGATCCTACAGCTGCCTAACCTCTGAAATACGATCTAGTTTTTGGCCCCAGATTTAAGGTGTGAAAAAGGTCTCTACATAATCACGACATTTTACGCCTGGACGCGCAGGACTCCGTGGAGACGGCACCAGGGAAGCTGCGAGGAAGTGTGAATAGAATCTGAGAGGTTCATCAGTTTTCTGTGATGAATAAGACGTATATGCAACACACTGTATTATAAAGAGTGTTGCATATACGTTTATTTTTTTACACAGTTGAATTTACAGGCTAGGAGGTATCCTACCTTAGCTTATTTTTTTTTTACACAGTTGAATTTACAGGCTAGGAGGTAGCCTACCTTAGCTTATTTCTTTTTTACACAGTTGAATTTACAGGCTAGGAGGTAGCCTACCTTAGCTTATTTCTTTTTTACACAGTTGAATTTACAGGCTAGGAGGTAGCCTACCTTAGCTTATTTCTTTTTTACACAGTTGAATTTACAGGCTAGGAGGTAGCCTACCTTAGCTTATTTCAAAGCCCAGCCCTTTTGCGACGTTAGATCAGGTCAGTCTGTCCAGGTATGTAACCTCAAGTTATATTAGGTATACTACCATCCCCCGGGATGCGATCCACAACAGCACTAACACCTAGGTACCTACTTGCTGCTAGGTGTGCAGGGGCTGCAGGCGCACGGAAACATGACCAACGTTTACAACCGTGCCGAGGATCAAACCACGGAGCCTATTTGAATGAATATGGATGAGAATATAATTAGAATTATATATGGGAGTTTGGGTAGAGGTGTTATTTACAAGAATCTCAAGTAATCAAGACGCGATTATCAATTTACTAATATATAATCCTAATTTTTAGAGGGTGAATAGGTAAGCCAGCTGAAGGTCTCGGTCACATAACCAAAAGCTCCAGTGGTGGGTCATCACATGACTAAAACTCGTTCCAGAAAACACTTGTTCTGTTTTCAAACGAGTCTTATCTAAGAAAAGGTTAAAGATGTGTGTGTGATACCTGATGAGACTTGAAGTTGCATACCTGGGCAGATTGACCTGATCTGACGTTGCAAAAAGAACTGATTGGCGTGACCTTAAGTTACACTCGAAGGCTAATTTAGACTGACCTTAAGGGAAAATCTTTCGTCAGCAAACATGAGAACCGCAGCTACACAATTAACCTAACTGGCTCCTCGTTACTTTTTCTCAGAAGATCAAGTGAACTAAAGATGTCTAACACACACACACACACACACACACACACACACACACACACACACACACACACAACCACACACACACACACACACACACACACACACACTTCTCACTCTCACTCGCTCGCTCCCTCAGCTAATATAAATCTGACCACTAAATCTAGCTAGCACTATTAACTTTATTTAGGTATAGGTACGCATAAGTACAATTATTATACATAATAACATACGTGTAAATTATCTACGATAATCCAAAAACGTCAGATATAATAATAATCTTAAGTTCTACAAGTACACGGAACAAAATATACAGACGTAACTGACATCAGTGATAACTATATAGAAAGTTCCTGGTTATGCAGAGCATTTCTGGCAACTTAGGTTAACCTTGTCCCCCAGGATGCGACCCACACCAGTCGGCTAACATCCAGGTACCTACTTACTGCTTGGTGAACATGGACAGCAGGTGTCTTGAGAAAACACGCCCAATGCTTCCACTCGTACCGGGGAGCGAACCACTGACACTCATTGTGTAAGACGAGTGCGCTACCAACTGAGCTACGGGACACCCTAAATGTGAAAGCTGTTCTAGTGACTACCACAGTTTCACCTTTACAGTAATTCAAGGATTTGTAACCTTGAGAGTAAACTAACAATACTCAATATACATTATTATTATTATAATCAAGGGGGAAGCGCTAAACCCGGAGGATTATACAGCGCCTGGGGGGGGGGATGTGGAAGGCATTCAGGCTTAATTCGGGGAACTGGAGCACAGATCCAATTCCCTAAATCAAGAGCCCCTCACCAACATCAAGGAACCTTCCTTGAGGGGACTCAATATACAGCACTAATAATAATAATAATTAATAATAATAATAATCATTATTATTAGTAGTAGTATTATTTATTGCTGTTTTTTTTAATTATTTTTGCGTTATTGTATTGCTATGATTGGTAGGCACTCAGCTCACACATTGAGCCCCGGGGTCGATTCCGGTACGGGTGGAATAGATATTATAGTATTACGAGAATATTACGTGTAATCGTGTTAGACGATCTGCCAAACTGTCAATGCATAATAATAGTATGCTTTCTGTCTACTGTGATCGATACTGAAATATACTAGACCTAATTGCCATAATAGTATATCTGTAGAAAGGTTACTTTACAGTTATATTTTTGGCATTATTTAGTTTTAATTGTTATGATGCGTACTTAATATCAGTTGTTGTAACAATTACGTATTATGGTTTTAAATTGTTGGTATGTTTAGTAGTGAAAAACGAATGCTTATTAAGTGTTGCGTCCAGTAACTTTGCTGTAGACAAGAGTAAATGAAGCTGTGACACTAAATGTTTGTTGCTGTGTCCAGGTAATGTTGTTGCCTGTGTCCAGGTAATGTTTGTGCCTTGTCAGGTAATGCTTGTTGCTGTGTCCAGGTAATGTTTTGCTATGTCAGGTAATGTTTGTTGCTGTGTCAGGTAATATTGTTGCCTGGTACAGGTAATGTTTGTTGCCTGTATTTCAGTAATGTTGTTGCTGTGTCCAGGTAATGCTGTTGCCTGTGTCAGGTTTTGTTTTTGCTATTTCAGGTAATGTTGGTTGCCTGTGTCCAGGTAATGCTTGTTGCCTGTGTCAGGTAGTTTTCCGTGTCCAGGTAATGTTGTGTTCCTTGTCAGTAATGCTTGTTGCCCTGTGCTAGAGTAATGTTGTAGCCTGATGTTAGTCGACTGTTTGTTGTTGTGATCGCATCCTGGTAAAAATGCCTATTTTGCCCTGTTAAAGTATGTTGTTCGCTGCTGCCAGGTAATGTTGTTGCCTGTACAGGTAATGCTTGTTGTATGTCAAAATGTTTGTTGCTTATATATGTATTATTGATTGTTATATGTTTGTTGCTGTGTCAGGTATATGTTTGTTAGTGTCGTATGTCTTTTGCTGTGTAGGTTAATGTTTGTTGACTGTGTCAGTAATGCTTGTTGTATGTAGTAAGTATTGTTCTTGCCATAATGTGATACTGTGTCAGTTAATGCTTGTGCTGTGTAGGTAAGCTTTGTTCTGATACAGGTATGTTGTTGCTGTGTCCAGGTAATGTTTGTTGCCTGTGTCCAGGTAATGTTTGTTGCCTGTGTCCAGGTAATGTTTGTTGCCTGTGTCCAGGTAATGTTTGTTGCCTGTGTCCAGGTAATGCTTGTTGCCTGTGTCCAGGTAATGTTTGTTGCCTGTGTCCAGGTAATGTTTGTTGCCTGTGTCCAGGTAATGTTTGTTGCCTGTGTCCAGGTAATGTTTGTTGCCTGTGTCCAGGTAATGTTTGTTGCCTGTGTCCAGGTAATGTTTGTTGCCTGTGTCCAGGTAATGCTTGTTGCCTGTGTCCAGGTAATGCTTGTTGCCTGTGTCCAGGTAATGTTTGTTGCCTGTGTCCAGGTAATGCTTGTTGCCTGTGTCCAGGTAATGTTTGTTGCCTGTGTCCAGGTAATGTTGTTGCCTGTGTCCAGGTAATGCTTGTTGCCTGTGTCCAGGTAATGTTTGTTGCCTGTGTCCAGGTAATGTTTGTTGCCTGTGTCCAGGTAATGCTTGTTGCCTGTGTCCAGGTAATGCTTGTTGCCTGTGTCCAGGTAATGCTTGTTGCCTGTGTCCAGGTAATGTTTGTTGCCTGTGTCCAGGTAATGTTGTTGCCTGTGTCCAGGTAATGTTTGTTGCCTGTGTCCAGGTAATGTTTGTTGCCTGTGTCCAGGTAATGTTGTGTGCCTGTGTCCAGGTAATGCTTGTTGCCTGTGTCCAGGTAATGTTTGTTGCCTGTGTCCAGGTAATGTTTGTTGCCTGTGTCCAGGTAATGTTTGTTGCCTTGTCCAGGTAATGCTTGTTGCCTGTGTCCAGGTAATGTTGTTGCCTGTGTCCAGGTAATGCTTGTTGCCTGTGTCCAGGTAATGCTTGTTGCCTGTGTCCAGGTAATGTTTGTTGCCTGTGTCCAGGTAATGCTTGTTGCCTGTGTCCAGGTAATGCTTGTTGCCTGTGTCCAGGTAATGTTTGTTGCCTGTGTCCAGGTAATGTTTGTTGCCTGTGTCCAGGTAATGTTTGCTGCCTGTGTCCAGGTAATGTTTGTTGCCTGTGTCCAGGTAATGTTTGTTGCCTGTGTCCAGGTAATGTTTGTTGCCTGTGTCCAGGTAATGTTTGTTGCCTGTGTCCAGGTAATGCTTGTTGCCTGTGTCCGGGTAATGTTTGTTGCCTGTGTCCAGGTAATGTTTGTTGCCTGTGTCCGGGTAATGCTTGTTGCCTGTGTCCAGGTAATGCTTGTTGCCTGTGTCCAGGTAATGTTTGTTGCCTGTGTCCAGGTAATGTTTGTTGCCTGTGTCCAGGTAATGTTTGTTGCCTGTGTCCAGGTAATGCTTGTTGCCTGTGTCCTAGAAATGCTTGTTGCCTGTGTCCTGGAAATGCTTGCTGCATGTGTCAGGAAATGTTTTCTGCTTTTGTCCTGGAAATGCTTGCTGCTTGTGTCCTGGAAATGCTGCTTGTGTCCATTCGCACTGGGTTTAAGAGTTTAGTGTCCGGGACAGAGAAGAGGCCCCAGGGACTCGTATAGCTGGAACCTCAATCGCACCAAACCACCACCTCATCCACCTCCTCCTCCTCCTCCTCCTCCTCCTGTTGGGTGGTGGGTCGTGGGTGGTGGTGGGTCGTGGTGGACGACGATGACGGAACACGAATTTCCAAAATTTTACTTATTCCAGGCGCAGCGAGCGAGTGGCTGGAATATATCACAGAAGACCTCGAGAAAATCTGGGTTTCTGGTCATTGAAGCGACGTAGATTAACTAGTGTTAATCTATGGACTTGAAATAAAGAATTTTAATTTTGGGACTGATCTTCCACACCGGGGCTTTATAACTATCAGTAAGAGGGAGTAATTGTATTTATCAGTTTCTTGACAAAGCTCCTCTGTGGGGGAAACGTCGAGAAATGAACGTTTTCCCCTGCTCACGGTATCTCTGAATTGCTAATTGCTAGTGTGGGTGGCATCCTGGGGTGGCATACCTCAGAGAACAAACAGGCACAATACTGAGACTGGAACAATACACAAATAACCCGCACATAGAGACAAGCGTATGGCGACGTTTCGGCCCGACTTGCCCATTTACATATTGTAAATGGTTCAAGTAGTATACCTTAAGACTGGGCTTTGAAATGAAGACTACACCTCGAGTACTGACGCAACAAGGTGTGGGAACGAGTGAGAAGAATTACGTAGCGTAGCTACCTCCCTGTCAGTGGACGGAGGATCGAGCCTTCACAACTTTGTGTGCTGAATCACTCAAACTGGTTTAGTGCTTCATATATAGATCGTAAAGAAGATAAAGTAACACTAACAATATTAATTGCAATGGACGTAATTTTATTTATTAATAAACACTATAATTATCGTCATTATTAATATTATCACTATTATTATTACCATATTAGTATTTATTATTATCACTGTTATTAAAATTATATTATTATTATTTATATTAATATTAAAATTATGATGATTATTATGATAGCTTTTGAGTCATTTCCATTAAGGCTGAAAATCTTACCTGTTTCATGGAGAAAAAGTCACAAAGGATGGCGAATCTTTTCTTCTTCATATTGTCTTTTTCTTCGAAGAGGCTGGAGATCAAGAAGGCTCCCTCAGTGACTTTCTTGTATACACCAGCCTTGGCGTCCTGCAGAAACCGCTTCCAAGTTGAGTTGTAAATCGTGAAAATTGATTTCAGTCAGTACTGGCCTACCTTTGAATATTTTCCATTTGTTTTGATATTTCTCTGCCTTCCATACACTCTGTTATGGTTTTATGTTAAAGCTCGTCCCATATACAGTGGACCCCCGCTTAACGATCACCTCCCAATGCGACCAGTTATGTAAGTGTATTTATGTAAGTGCGTTTGTACGTGTATGTTTGGGGGTCTGAAATGGACTAATCTACTTCACAATATTCCTTATGGGAACAAATTCGGTCAGTACTGGCACCTGAACATACTTCTGGAATGAAAAAATATCGTTATCCGGGGGTCCACTGTACTAAGATATAGTCTCGTGTTTCTCTTACTCCCATCTCGTCCTTCCTGACCTCATTTCCGAAGACCATCAGAGATCTTTCTCTTTCTTGTCCTCTCATTGTGGGTTTAAATGACAGGTATGAATACAGTATGTAAGTGTGTGTAATTATGACATGCTAACAGTATATTACATTTTCCGGTGTATGTCACCCATATAGTCATGCCTCCCGACCAGTGAATCAGGTGTTAAGGGTTTAACGATCAGGTGCCCCGTCGTTATACCACTATCTTGGATCAACCAGCCAATCACAAGGCAGCTCACCAAAGCTGTAAAGCGATGTGGTACACTAGTGAAGCAGCTTTGGCAGACTTACCTTCCTGTTGGTCGCTACGGTTCTTACCGTGTCTTGTGCTTGCAGTCACCTCATTATACATGTAAATACAGTACATAGGCTATATACACTGTAAATAGCAGCTTGAATTTAGTGAAGGAGATACAATCATTCATTCTCTCTGCTGCCTTTTTGCTCGTTCCTAAATGGTTATTGTGCAGTGGTATGGTGTGTACCTGTGTATGTAACAGTAATACAATATGTGATACAGTATGTAATACATTATTTAACGAAGTATACAATAGCTTCAGTGGATATACGGACCCCTAAGAGTTGGTGGAGGGCCGTGCCAGCTTCCACGGACCACGGTAGATGAGCGTACTTGATCAGGTCCTCCAGGGAGTTGACAGGAACAGGAACCCTAGGTGAGGCCAGCAAGGACGTTAACACTCCCTCGTAAGCGGCACCTAGGATGAGAGCACCTAGGAGCCAGACACCTAGCAGCAGACGGCCTCTTAGCGTCCTAGGCTTAAGATTCAGTGCTGGGAAAAAAAAGAGGAAAATTTTATGATATTCGATGATACTGATGAAAGAAATGAAGCCAGTGCGTTAACCACTAGGCCACCTGGCTACGATAAGATGATAGCGGCTTTAAGGGGACCTGAGCTGGAGCTCGCCACAGCCACGCTGGTGTGGGATTCGTCTGTTAAAAGCCTGCATATGTAGTCACAGTTGTGGTCAATGCTAACCTTCCTATGGTGTATAGTAATATATTCAGTTGGATGAATCTTATGAGAGACGGGTGGTACAGTGGTTAACGCACTGGACTCTGTGAGTTTTAGGATTCACGTGACGTGGGTTCAAAACCCCACCGGTTCCCTGGTCTGTTTGAAGTGTTTTGAGATATATGTTGATGGTTATGGGGTTGTCCCCCCCTCCCTTCTTCCCTCCCTCCCTTCCTTCCTGCACCCTTGGGACTGGTCTCTGACCTGGTCCCTGACCTGGTCCTCCTAAATTGATAGAGGAATAAAGAACCACTGTTATTGTTGTTGTTACTTCTGGTTCTTTTTTTGCTTTTGTCGTTGTTGCTGTTGTTAGTTATCTCTGCTACTTTTGTTATCGTTGATTATATATATATATATATATATATATATATATATATATATATATATATATATATATATATATATATATATATATATATATTGCTGCTGTTTTTATTATTCCCTTCATAGACTTCTAACCACTACTACAACCATCCTTGCAACCACTCCTACCACCATTCCCACCTCTACTCCTACCACCACCATTCCTACCACCATCCCCACCACCACTCCTGCTATCATCCCAACCATCATTCCTCCACCATCACCCAAAAACCATTCTTACAACCATTCCCACCAACATTCCTACCACCATCCCCACCACCCCTCCTACAACCATTCCCACCAACATTCCTACCACCATCCCCACCACCACTCCTACAATCATTCCCACCAACATTCCTACCACCATCCCCACCACCACTCCTACCACCATCCCTACCACCACTCCTACCACCATCCCCACCACCACTCCTACAACCATTCCCACCAACATTCCTACCACCATTCCCACCACCACTCCTACCAGCAAGAAGACAGCACTCACGGTCCGCCTGTAAAATAGGACTCAGATCCCAGCTGGGCGCTTGTGTCACCTTGGTGTCAACAACAGCTGGTGCAAGATGCCACCTGTCCTCCGCCACCTTCATCAGCATTACCAGGAGACAGCTGGTGACTAGCATCGCCAGCAGCACCATCCACACCTGCCCGGGTATAAGGTGTGAATGATGAGCTGGTAACGTGAGTGGAGTACAGTGCCGACTTCTGCAACACTTTATATATGAGATAAATTTAGATTTAGAAAGGACATAGGTCAGTATTGGTTTTCAAACTGTGGATGCGTGAAACAGTCTTCCGAGTAGGGTGAAGGAGGCTAGGACCCTGGGTAGCTTTAAAAAGAGATTGGACAAATATACGAGCGGGAGGGCCTGGGTGTGATTGGTGTCTGGGGTACGGAAGTAAATTTTTGGGTAGCTTTGGGGAAAGGTTGGATAAATACATAGGTGGTTTTGATAAGGACCTGCCTTGTATGGGCCAGTAGGCTTGCTGCAGTGAAAGGATGAACACTGCAGTGGCCTGTTGGCCTCCATTCTTATGTTTTTAAGACCTACTGAATATCAGAAGGAGTTTAAAGTAATTAGTCCCTCAGCCTGAAATCGATTACATCGACTCAAGGCTGAGGGATTGATTACCTCAAACTACTCGTGATTTTCACCATTCTTTTCTGTTAAGTAAAAGGACACAAGTGCAACTAATGTGATATTTTATTTTGGCAACGTTTCGCTGTCCAGGAGCTTAATCAAGCCGTTACAAACAGTACATGGACACAGAGGGTATATATAGGCTCAGAGTGAGGTGCAATACTAGTGGTAGTAGTAGTAGTAGTAGTAGTAGTAGAAGTGATACAATATGTAGAACAATTACCTTGCACATGAGTAAACGATATAAAGGCTATTACTTGGGAAACATGAAAATTGGTTAGACAAATATTTCTATTGGAGGCTGGATAGAGGCAGCCTGTTTCAGTGTTCACTCTCTGTAATGTGCTTGTGTAGTATTAACAGGAAAGACTATGTGATGGCAGGAGTTACTGTTTTCAGGAGGATTCTTGCTAAGACTTCAGAGATGGTGAAGCTGCCTTTGTTTTGTTTAATTGTATTTGAAACAGCTATTAGCGAAGATTCAAGGCACCTGCATCTGCGGAAATTAGTTTCTTTGATCACTAGTTGGGCGTCCCTGAACTTCATGAGATGATTGGTGGAATTTCGGCGTTGTACACAGGCGTTGTTCAAGTTATCATTCCTACATGCATAAATGTGTTCATTGAGGCGGGTGTCGAGGTCTCTTGCTGTTTCACCTACATAAATCTTGTCGCAACCTCCACAGGGTACAGTGTAAACCCCTGCGTTGACTGGTTCGTGGTGCTTGGATTTTGTTCTGGTTAGATCCTTTATTGAAGTGCTGGAAGCTTGTGAAAGTACTTTAGAAACGTTCAGTGCAACCAGGCTGTTGGGAAGAATTATAACTTTATTGGGAGTGGTGATGGTGCCTGGAGAATTAATGATCTGAAGGGCTCTTTTCTTCCAGTCTTTGATGAAAAAGGAAGGAAAATGTAAATAATGAAATTAAGACACATGTGCAACATCTGGGTATCTTTATTGTAGACGTTTTGCCATCCTGTCGTGGAGAATCTCCACGACTATGGTGCTCTTCGCACCTACTCCTAGGTTGAGGGACTGATTGCCTCATCTTCTGTACATAGTTCTACTATCTTTATGTCCTGGAATTTGTATTGATAAAGCCACTGGATGGCACAACGTCTACAATAAAGATACCCAGATGTTGCACATGTGTCTTAATTTCATCTTGTCGGTATTGTATACCATTCTTGTACGAAAATGTAACTCAGTGAAGGTTTGGTGAATGTATGTACATTCCTCGTCAAGAAATTCAGGACTACAAATTCGGTATTATGCTCTTAGGAAAAACTTCGCCAACATCATCCCTTCAAGCGTCACTTGGTTACGTTACGTGGACGACGTCCTCGTAATAACGCCCAAACGTTTTGATGTACGGAATCTTCAGGCAAGGCTCAACGCAGTTGAACCGGCGATCCAGTTTACACTAGAAGAAGAGTCCAGTGACAAGCTACCTTTCCTCGACGTCCTCATCCACAAAGTAGACAACAACCTAAGATTTCAAGTTTATCGGAAACCCACCAATAAAAATGATCTCACACACTTCTATTCCAGCCAAGATACCAAGACCAAAAGAGGCATCATCATCGGGTTTTTCCTAAGAGCATAATACCGAATTTATAGTCCCGAGTTTCTTGACGAGGAATGTACATACATTCACCAAACATTCACTGAGTTACATTTTCCTTCTTTTTTCATCAAAGACTGCAAGAAAAGAGCCCTTCAAATCATCAATTCTCCATGCACCAACACCACTCCCAACAAAGTTATAATTCTTCCCAACAGCCTGGTTGCACTGAACGTTTCTAAAGTACTTTCACAAGCTAACACCAGAGTCGCCATCGCTTCCAGCACTTCGATAAAGGATCTAACCAGGACAAAATCAAAACACCACGAACCAGTCAACGCAGGGGTTTACACTATACACTGTGGAGGCTGCGACAAGATCTATGTAGGTGAAACAGCAAGAAACCTCGACACCCGCCTAAATGAACACATTTATGCATGTAGGAACGATAACTTGAACAACGCCTGTGTACAACACCGAAATTCCACCAATCATCTCATGAAGTTCAGGGACGCCCAACTAGTGATCAAAGAAACTAATTTCTGCAGATGCAGGTGCCTTGAATCTTCGCTAATAGCTGTTTCTAATACAATTAAACAAAACAAAGGCAGCTTCACCATCTCTGCAGTCTTAGCAAGAATCCTCCTGAAAACAGTAAATCCTGCCATCACATAGTCTCTGCTGTTAATACTACACAAGCCCATTACAGAGAATGAACATTGAAACAGGCTGCCTCTATCCAGCCTCCAATAGAAATATTTGTCCAACCAATTTTCATGTTTCCCAAGTAATAGCCTTTATATCGTTTACTCGTGTACAAGTTAATTGTTCTACATATTGTATCACTTCTACTGTGTGTGTGTGATGAATGGTTTGAAAAACCGACAAGTTGAAGATTGAGACACTTATGCAGCATATGGAAATCTTTATTCAGGAAACGTTTCGCCACACAGTGGCTTCATCAGTCCAATACAAAGAGGAAGGCGTAAGGAGAGGAGGAGAATGAGGTAATCAGTCCCTCAACCTGGAGTCGATATGTTCAGTCCATCAATCTTGTAGAATGTACAGCATAGGGCCGTAGACGTGGCTTATATACTGTAGTGAGGTGACGTGAAGCAGATGGAGGCGGGGTCATAGTGGTACCATCCACTAGTCGAAGTAGGTCTTCGTCCAAAGGTTTTTCAAACCATTCATCACAACTGTCAGACACTGCAGCATCATGGGATCTTGTTACAAAGAATTCTTCAACACTTGTTCAACCTTTGGACGAAGACCTACTTCGACTAGTGGATGGTACCACTATGACCCCGCCTCCATCTGCTTCACGTCACCTCACTACAGTATATAAGCCACGTCTACGGCCCTATGCTGTACATTCTACAAGATTGATGGACTGAACACATCGACTCCAGGTTGAGGGACTGATTACCTCATTCTCCTCCTCTCCTTACGCCTTCCTCTTTGTATTGGACTGATGAAGCCACTGTGTGGCGAAACGTTTCCTGAATAAAGATTTCCATATGCTGCATAAGTGTCTCAATCTTCCACATTACTTCTACTACTACTACTACTACCACTAGTATTGCACCTCGCTCTGAGCCTATATATACCCTCTGTGTCCATGTACTGTTTGGTCATTCAGCCAGTGTTGCCTCTCCTCGCCGTTGTCTGAAGTCTCCACGCCTCAGCCTGTATGTGAAGTCTGCTCCCCATACAGCTAGTGTTGGCTCTCCTCATCGCTCAGAGCCAGAGTTGCTCTCCTCACCGGATGGTGGTTACTGGACCTTCGTCTTCACCATCAGGATTGGTGCGTCGGTGGCTGCCTACCCAAGGGCAGGAAGCCTCCCTCTGCACTCCTGTTGCTGTCTGAAGTCTCCACGCCTCAGCCAGTACGTGTGATCTGCACGCCATACAGCCAGTGTTGCCTCTCCTCACCGTTCAGGGCATACAGTGCTCCATCAAGCTACAGCTCACCTCCTCAGTGTCCTGTGCCTCCAGAGACAGACTCCACAAGAAACTTTAAAGTTATAGCCAGGCAAGTACGTGTGTCTACTTCACACGTACTTGCCTAACCAATTATTCTCACAGATTTGGCCGCCACATCTAATTTACGATGCCTTCAATGCCTTCCACTTCCTTCCCCCTTACCACTCCTCCTCTACTGCCAACACCTGCCTCTACTCTGTCTACTCCTGCCTCTAAGGCCTACCCTGCCTCTACCTCTTCCAAACCCAGTTCTTTCTCGCTTAACCTCAAATACTCTAAATCTGATCATGCCACTATCTGTCCTGGAAATTTATTGTACCAGATCACTGGCGCTCCTCAACTGAAAGTCTTGAAAACCAACTCAGGCTTCAAACTACTACTTGACAGACATTTTTAGGAAACGTACACCTCAACCGAGACCAGACAAAAACTTCTCAACGCAGGCTTCACCATTATTTGGACTCCTGAGCACCGCGCCAAATGCACAGTGATCGCAAAACACGTAGACTATTCTCTCCTGACTGCCTATGACAGAGACAAAGAAGACTTAATCAAAAACATTAGTACTAAAAACAAAGTCTTTGTTGACGATATTTACAGACCTGAAAACTCTACCATCCTCAAAATACGCTGTTTAACTCCTTCTGATGCCTCTACACTCTTCAATCAAGGAATCCTTGCCAAGACCATCCGCATTCCTCCAAAAACACCCTCTTCACTCCAAACTTTCACCCCATCACACAATGTCTGAAATGCTACAAATTCGGCCACGACAAAATCTCATGCACTTCCACACAAACCTGCTCCAGATGTTCAGCAACTGGCCACTTCTGGAACACTTGCAACCTCCCCCTTAAATGTTCTAACTGCGGCGGATCACACACTGCAGTTGCAAATTCCTGCCCTACTAGAAAAGACATTCTCTCCACCCTCAGAGCCAGCCAACCTCCCTCCCTCCCCAACCCCTTCCCTGCACCTCCCTCCCCGGCACCTCCCTCCCCTTTCATACCTCCCTTCCCTACCCCGAATGCCTGGGCCTCCCCACGCACTTGGTCTACCTCTTCTACTCTACACACATCAAACACCAACACACAGACTACAAGCACTTCTCCTTCTACACCTACACCCACACTAGACTACAAAACTAACTGTCAACTCGCCACTGCTGCCCACTCTGCGATGGTAATCTCACGAGCTTACCAATCAGACTACTCACATGTCCTTAACCTAATCTTGTCTGCTAACAATCTTCCCTCTTTAATTATCCCTCCTTCCTGCTTCTCTTCTAAGCCTACTACAACCTCTCCCTCCTCCCTCTCTCCCACCCCCCCCACTTCCTACTCCAACCAGCTCTCCTCCTCCCCTACCCCTCTTCACTACTTCCACACCTCCCACCAACACCCCTACTGCTGCTGCTACGACCACCCCTCCCCCCACTTCCTCATCCCCTTCCAAAGCTTCCACTTCCTCATCCCTTACCATAGCTTCCACTTCCTCATCCCTTACCATAGCTTCCACTTCCTCATCCCTTACCATAGCTTCCACTTCCTCCCCTACCAAAGCTTCCACTTCCTCTGCATCCACCTTTGCCCACTCCTCCACCACAACCAAAACTTCATCCAGGTCCAACTCCACCTCCTCCAGACAAAATCCACTCAAACCTAAACCTGCCCCAACCTCTGACAGACAGACCAAAGAACATAAAAACAGATCCATCTCTTCCTACCCCTCCAGGAAACGGGTCCGTAGCACCTACAAACACACATCCACTGATGGCACCACTATCACGGGCTTTAATCCAAACTTCTCCCCCCGACATTAACTTTGCTATGACGAAACCATTAAATCACGTTTAATGTGATTCAGTTCAACGTACGTTCTTACTTTACAATTAGACACCTACTGGCCGAGCTCCTTGAAGCAGAGAGGCCAGATATTGTTTTGCTAAACAGTACCTGCCTCAAAGCCCCTCAACGTATCCGCCATTACAAATCCCTAATACGTCCTCTGATAACTTACTCTCCTCTAGCCCTCTCTCTTGCAGCAAAAACAAACTTACTTAAACTGCAGCGTGTCCAGAACAAGGCGCTGCGCTGGGTGCTTGATGTCAGATGATAGGGCTTCGCCACAAGCGAGTCTCTCCATGCCCAATTAGACATCCCTGCGCTGAATCTGTACTGGAAGACGCTCAGTGACAGACAGACAGACAAACTTGAGACACGACATGACTACTGGACCACTCTCCTTGACGAAGACATTCGCAGACCCACAAACCAACACACCCTTTTCTACTCCTTGTATGATCCTGCTCCAAACCCTATTTACAAATAACCTTGGATTCGCTGACAGGTACCTTCTATGACAGATACCATTCTCTGACCCACGTTCGCCTTAGCTTTTGGGTTAAGACATGGCCCAGTTCTACACTCCTCTCTAGCGCTAAACGTCGCATGTCCCTTCCTCCCCGCTCACCCCACCGGAGTCCCAACAGAAGAGCCTGAATTTCTCTTCTCAATATCTGTCAGACGATCGCCTTCGCTGCTGGGTTAAGCCCTGGCTCTATTTCTACGACTAAGAACACTCCTCTCCAGCACTATTCTTCGTCTGTCCCGTCTTCCCCGCTCATCCCATTTGGGATCTTACCTGAGCTTTCGTTCGTTCGTTGTACTGTTTGTAACGGCTTGATAAAGCTCCTGGAGAGCGAAACGTTGCCACAATAAAATGTCACATTAGTTGCACTTGTGTCCTTTTACTTTACATATTGTCGGTAATTCTACCAACTTTATTACATTCTTTTCTGTTAAAGACTGATGAAGCCACTGTATGGAGAAACGTTCGCTCAATAAAGATACCCAAGTGTGTGTTTAATAGACTCGAACCAAGGTGCCGGGTCACCAATTGGACCGGACCCGGGTCGGGACAGTACCAGCGAGCCTCATCCAGTCACACGACGGTACCTCCCAGGCGAAAGGCTTTGTGAATCCAGCCAGATCTCTCTCCAGGCGAGGCCTCGGCAGGAAAATCCCAAAGTTGTCGACATAGAGAGGCACAGAGTAGTCGATCACCCTCGACCTGACATAGGTGATGCTGAACGGTCCGAGCGCCATGTCAGCCTCCTGGAGGAGAAGAACTCTCTCACTATCCAGCCTCGATGATAATATTGTCGCGAGAGCGGAAAATTATCACATTTCCTGCATTTCTCCAGCCATCAAAACTAAGTAAATATTAAAATCACGTCAGTGTTCTGAAATGCGCTGCCAATAAGCTGGCCAGAACTTCACAATATTATGGCCAACACACTTTATATATATCGTGTCTGTGTTTATAATGGGAGGTTTCAGAGTGGCGTTCATGCTTGTATATTTTCTAAGAGCTTGTGTGAAGTAATCGTTCTTCCCGATGCTCTTAATAATAAAATTATATAATATACAATTATCGTGCCGAATAGGTAAAACTTGCGGATTTTGCTAAAATCAAATTTTTGCCAACACAAATTTTTTGGGCTTTTTTAAAAAATTTCAATAAAAAAAAAATTATTATAAGTCTTGTTTTTTAAATTTGTAAACTATCATAAAAATGTACATTTAGCTTGCACATTAAATGTGCGCTTTTACTAAATAGGTTTCGGTAAGTTCTACCAATTCTTTGGTACAAAATTTTATCTTTTAATAACTAAATGAAAAATTATATCTTTCGTATAAAGAAAACTTATAGAAAGGTGTTATTTGATAGATTCTGTAATTACCAATTCCTGGCCAACTAATAATGGTACGTGAAAAGGGTTGGGACAGTACCTTGCGTTGACACTACAATCATCCACTAGTGGTATCCATTGGAAAGGGCTTGTGAATCCACCAGACTACTTACCAGTGCGTACCTGCACGCAAACAATCTCCGTGCATTTTGACTATGAACGGCATTAATGAGTAGTCATATGATATGAATAGTATTGTACGTTAATACGATATTCAGTTGGATATGATAGATACTCTCTCACTATCCAGTCCTCATAGATATATATATTACTGAGACTTAAAATTATAAATTTCTCATTTCTCACATAAATAATGTATATATATTATATATATGTATTATATGATATATAGTATATTATATGTAAATTATATATATGATACATAATATTATATATATGTTATTGTTTATATATGTATATATGTTATAGTAGTGATGTATATATGTATATATTGTATATTTATATATGTATATGTATAATGTATATTATGTAATTAGTTTATCCAGCTCATATATATATATAAATATTATATATATATATATGTATATATGTATATATGTAGTATAAATATGTATTATATGTAATATATATGTATATAGTATATTTGATATATATCATATGATATATATATGTGATATAATATATATATCATATGATATATATACTATATAAGTATAAATATATATATTATATGATATATTATAATTATATTATATATATATGTATAATATTATCAAATAAATATATATTTATATATAATATATATAAATAATATTGCTTTGTATAATAAGGCTTAATTCTATTTTCTAAGTGTTTTTTGGTCATATTATAATATTTTACTGTACTATTATGTATATATATATATATATTATATTATATAATATATATAATATATATATATATATATATATTATATATATTTGAAACTGAATTCCTGCTAATTGAATAAATTATACCTATTATAATCATAATAATGATATGTAATATATATAGATATATTGCATTATGAATAATAATATATATATAATGGATATATACATAATCACCTCAATGATATGAATAATTAATATCACACAACACATATACTGTCCATATATATATGCACTATATATTTATAGTATTATATATATATATATATATATATAATATATATATATATATTAAAATATAATATATAATATATATATAAATATATATATATATATAATATATAGTCACATACCTATGAATATCTCTATATATATATCATATATTTATATCATATTTAAATCATCTATTTTATATATCTATATATATATATATATATATATATATATATATATATTATATATATATATAATGTATTGTATATTTATATATATATATATATATATATATATATATATATATATATATATATATATTTATATATAATATATATATATATAATTATATATATATATAAAATATATAATATCTATAATAAATATCATATATCACACACACACACACACACATTGTGTGTGTTGTGCCGAATAGATAAAATCGTTCAATTAGCAAGAAACTCGTTTAAAATTAAATCCTTAATCAAATTTTTCTCTTATACGTGAGGTCATATTTGAGGTCATATCCCACCTTTATAAGGCTTCTGTTCTGTTATTTTTACTATTCCTTGATAAAATGAGAAATCACGAAAAGCGCTTGGAATTTCACTAATTTCTCACTGTGTGTTTTGCATATTGATTATTACCAATTTTGCGACAGAATGTCGAGAAAATCTGCTTAAAACAGCTTGTAAGAAATCGAAATTGAGTTTAGAAGTATAAGTTGCCAGCCTCCACATCTGTTTATCATCTCTTCTGGGATACTTATCATTGCTCCCAGAATTCGAAAGGGAAAGGACCTTATTTTGTTTTGGTTTGTTTGTTTCGATGGCTAGTGTTAATTTCAACCTGTTTTTGTTTTCGTCCGTGTCTTTGTAAGCAATAAAAACGTCACTAGTAAAGACCGAAGTTGTGTCACAAGCTTTTGTTGTGTCAGTGTTATGCCCAACTTAGTGTTTAGCCAACTTAGTACTAAACATTGTCACAAGTTTGTGTCCTGTGTATATTGTCCAGTAACTGTATCGTGCCTTTATATTCTTCACCATCAAGGGTTCCACACCTTTGTCTTTGAAGATAAATGGTATTAAATACCGTGACACTGGAAAAATACACAAATGCGGTATATTGTGATCTTTTATTGACTCATTTTGCCCAAAAGGTAAGCTTTATCAAGTCACAAACAGGACAGAGCTACCTGGGTAAAGAGTACATGTGTATATATAGTGTGCAGAGTCAGGTGGTGAATGTTGGGGAGGGTGGATTTAAGACGGACCTGCCAGGGATGGGCGAGTAGGTATGTTACGTAGGATAACGATAAATAATTATATTTTAATGTCTACAAGTACATGTACAGACCATAGCTGACATAAGTGACATACTACTATATAGACAACCGCTTGTTATGCTGAGCAATTCGGGCAAATTAGGTCAGTTTTGTCCCAGGATGCGACTCGCACCAGTCCACTAACACCCAGGTACCCATTTTGGGTGATTGGTGAACATGGACAGCAGGTGTCTTATGGAGACACTTCTTAATGTTATCCAGCCATACCGGGGATTCGAACTCCGGACCTCAGTGTGTGAGCTGAGTTCATCTATGTTGCAAAACCCGTTTTTCTGGTTGAAATTGTTAGACATACAAATGATTAAGGATTCCAAGATTCTACAGCACTAAATGTCTGTTTTTCTTCTTATGTCGTTGTTGAATAAGTGTTGAAAGTGTGGTGTCGTTGTGTCAGCCATCGACAGTGTCACACTTACGTGAAGTTGAGTTTCTCTGCCAGAATGTCGAGGAAGTCTATGAGGATGCCCGAGGCTTGGAGAGTGCCACCCTGCTCTTGCTTCAGCAGCACCCATGGCACCCACACGTCACCTGCCACACGGAGGTTCCTGCCTTTCAGGGCCATTATCTAATCACTAGTTAATCAGTTACACTATCGCCTCTGGTCAGAGATGATCGTGGATTAGTGTTCCAATCAGTAACAATGTCTTCTCTCGTTTTGCTGTGGAAAGAGAGAGATGTAATTGTAGATTATCCAAGAATAAATTGGTTTAAATAATTAAGTCTAGGAATTGTGTGTTAGCATCCTTCAAAGGCATTTGTTGATAGGCATTTGGCTTGTTGTGAATCTGTTATAATTGTGTCTACTTACTGATATGTGGTTAGGGGTCGAGTTACAATTCCTGGACCCGCCTCTTCGCAGGTCGCTTTTAGATCCGCTCTCTCCCGGCTCCAAGAGCCTTAGTACCTCATAAATCTATGTATATGTGTGTGTATGTAGAGAGAGAGAGAAAGAAAGAGAGGGAGGGGCGTGATGTCCTTGCTCCCATGTTTATGTATAGAATGTGCAGTACAACTCTTTTTAAAATTTACTGTGCAATTTCACCTCTCTTTAATTCATCACTAGGAGTTACATATGTAGCAACACTGATAGTACTGGAATACAAACATACCAGCAACACAAGTGTTGTGTGAGTACTACACCAGACCTCGTACTGCTTCTAACACTAACACACAAGCAACACAAATATTGAGAATAGCCAGTGGACGACAAATTAGCAATGTAAAACACACCAAACATTTTTACTAAACATAGACACGATAAAACCATGTTTAGAAGCCAACATTGTCTAACACATTGCGTTTTACACTTCTAGTAACGCAAATGTCGAGGTTCGTTGAACCATCACTGTATAACCCAGGTTCAGCTATAAAATTAATGAAGGTTGAACTTCATGGCCCTTAATCCCGGAGGGGTCCCAGAAGTGACATTACTTAAAAATTTTGGGTTTACCGTATGAGAAGGGATTGCGATGGGGCCCCCCATAGCATTTCAGGCTTCAGGGCCCTAAAAATGTAGGTCCACCACTGGTAGAGCCCAATTTACAGTTTAGAGATCGCAGGAGAAGCCAGTATAATTTGGTCATTTACAAAGGATGTCGCAGGATAGATTGACCAAGGTGTATAAATCATGGGTGGATGAAAGGGGTGTAGGAGATTTCCCAGGGTTTTGAATGTTGGGGCTTGAACCTCGAGCAGGCATGTTGGAACATGTTGGATTGGAATAGACAGAAATGCGTATTACGGACAAGTGTGCAGAGAAAGACTTAGCGTAGAGGAAGCATTTACTGGGACAACGTTTCGCTCTGTGTAGAGCTTTATCAAGACTTGTTGAAGCTCTATAGAGCGAAACATCCCACTGCAAACTTCTGTATCTTGTATCTTCAGAGATTGGAGAGAGTGGAAGCGAGTGATGTTAGAGGTTGAAATGCCGTTGGAGTGTGACCAGTGAAACATCTTTAAATGGAGTTAGGAAACTGTTTAACCAGTCACGAATTTCAGAAAGTGGGAAGTGCAAAGACTGCACTTCGTCGCGGTACTGTGGCTCCTGAAATCACCTTCCTGTGCACTGCAAGAAAGATATCGCCAGCTACAACGTCCTCTTCACGCATTTTCACCACCTTCACCTATATTTCATACTTATTGTTTTGTAAATCTTCCACAATCACTGTGTCATACCTGGAGTATACCTGGAGGGTATTTCGAGGGGCCACCGCCCCCCCAGTCTGGTCCATGACCAAGCCTAGCAAACAAATGTAATATCCCCTTATCTTACATTTATTTTAAGATTACATCTTTCCAGATTCTTTTTTTTTCATCATTGATGAAACGACAGTGGAGAGTTTTTCATCTTACCTCACTGTGTGGAGTGTGTGTTCCATCTTACCTCACTGTGTGGAGTGTGTGTTCCATCTTACCTCACAGTGTGGAGTGTGTGTTTCCATCTTACCTCACTGTGTGGAGTGTGTGTTCCATCTTACCTCACTGTGTGGAGTGTGTGTTCCATCTTACCTCACTGTGTGGAGTGTGTGTTCCATCTTACCTCACTGTGTGGAGTGTGTGTTCCATCTTACCTCACTGTATGGAGTGTGTGTTCCATCTTACCTCACTGCGTGGAGGTGTGTGTTTCCATCTTACCTCACTGTGTGGAGTGTGTGTTCCATCTTACCTCACTGTATGGAGTGTGTGTTCCATCTTACCTCACTGTGTGGAGTGTGTGTTCCATCTTACCTCACTGTGTGGAGTGTGTGTTCCATCTTACCTCACTGTATGGAGTGTGTGTTCCATCTTACCTCACTGTGTGGAGTGTGTGTTCCATCTTATCTCACTGTATGGAGTGTGTGTTCCATCTTACCTCACTGTGTGGAGTGTGTGTTCCATCTTACTGTGTGGAGTGTGTGTTCCATCTTACCTCACTGTGTGGAGTGTGTGTTCCATCTTACCTCACTGTGTGGAGTGTGTGTTCCATCTTACCTCACAGTGTGGAGTGTGTGTTCCATCTTACCTCACAGTGTGGAGTGTGTGTTCCATCTTACCTCACTGTGTGGAATGTATGTTCCATCTTACCTCACTGTGTGGAGTGTGTGTTCCATCTTACCTCACAGTGTGGATGTGTGTGTTCCATCTTACCTCACAGTGTGGAGTGTGTGTTCCATCTTACCTCACAGTGTGGAGTGTGTGTTCCATCTTACCTCACAGTGTGGAGTGTGTGTTCCATCTTACCTCACTGTGTGGAGTGTGTGTTCCATCTTACCTCACAGTGTGGAGTGTGTGTTCCATCTTACCTCACTGTGTGGAATGTATGTTCCATCTTACCTCACTGTGTGGAGTGTGTGTTCCATCTTACCTCACTGTGTGGAGTGTGTGTTCCATCTTACCTCACTGTGGTGTGGATTGTTGGGGTTCCATCTTACCTCACAGTGTGGAGTGTGTGTTCCATCTTACCTCATTGTGTGGAGTGTGTGTTCCATCTTACCTCACTGTGTGGAGTGTGTGTTCCATCTTACCTCACTGTGTGGAGTGTGTGTTCCATCTTACCTCACATGTGTGGAGTGTGTGTTCCATCTTACCTCACTGTGTGGAGTGTGTGTTCCATCTTACCTCACTGTGTGGAGTGTGTGTTCCATCTTACCTCACTGTGTGGAGTGTGTGTTCCATCTTACCTCACTGTGTGGAGTGTGTGTTCCATCTTACCTCACAGTGTGGAGTGTGTGTTCCATCTTACCTCACTGTGTGGAGTGTGTGTTCCATCTTACCTCACTGTGTGGAGTGTGTGTTCCATCTTACCTCACTGTGTGGAGTGTGTGTTCCATCTTACCTCACTGTGTGGAGTGTGTGTTCCATCTTACCTCACTGTGTGGAGTGTGTGTTCCATCTTACCTCACTGTGTGGAGTGTGTGTTCCATCTTACCTCACTGTGTGGAGTGTGTGTTCCATCTTACCTCACTGTGTGGAGTGTGTGTTCCATCTTACCTCACTGTGTGGAGTGTGTGTTCCATCTTACCTCACAGTGTGGAGTGTGAGTTCCATCTTGCCTCACAGTGTGGAGTGTGTGTTCCATCTTACCTCACTGTGTGGAGTGTGTGTTCCATCTTACCTCACTGTGTGGAGTGTGTGTTCCATCTTACCTCACTGTGTGGAGTGTGTGTTCCATCTTACCTCACAGTTTGGAGTGTGTGTTCCATCTTACCTCACTGTGTGGCGTGTGTGTTCCATCTTACCTCACTGTGTGGAGTGTGTGTTCCATCTTACCTCACTGTGTGGAGTGTGTGTTCCATCTTACCTCACTGTGTGGAGTGTGTGTTCCATCTTACCTCACTGTGTGGAGTGTGTGTTCCATCTTACCTCACTGTGTGGAGTGTGTGTTCCATCTTACCTCACTGTGTGGAATGTGTGTTCCATCTTACCTCACTGTGTGGAGAGTGTGTTCCATCTTACCTCACTGTATGGAGTGTGTGTTCCATCTTATCTCACTGTGTGGAGTGTGTGTTCCATCTTACCTCACTGTGTGGAGTGTGTGTTCCATCTTATCTCACTGTGTGGAGTGTGTGTTCCATCTCACTGTGTGGAGTGTGTGTTCCATCTTACCTCACTGTGTGGAGTGTGTGTTCCATCTTACCTCACTGTGTAGAGTGTGTGTTTCATCTTACCTCACTGTGTAGAGTGTGTGTTCCATCTTACCTCACTGTGTAGTGTGTGTGTTCCATCTTACCTCACTGTGTAGAGTGTGTGTTCCATCTTACCTCACTGTGTAGAGTGTGTGTTCCATCTTACCTCACAGTGTGGAGTGTGAGTTCCATCTTACCTCACAGTGTGGAGTGTGTGTTCCATCTTACCTCACAGTGTGGAGTGTGTGTTCCATCTTACCTCACAGTGTGGAGTGTGTGTTCCATCTTACCTCACTGTGTGGAATGTGTGTTCCATCTTACCTCACTGTGTGGAGTGTGTGTTCCATCTTACCTCACAGTGTGGAGTGTGAGTTCCATCTTACCTCACAGTGTGGAGTGTGTGTTCCATCTTACCTCATTGTGTGGAGTGTGTGTTCCATCTTACCTCACTGTGTGGAATGTGTGTGCCATCTTACCTCACTGTGTGGAGTGTGTGTTCCATCTTACCTCACAGTGTGGAGTGTGAGTTCCATCTTACCTCACTGTGTGGAGTGTGTGTTCCATCTTACCTCACTGTGTGGAGTGTGTGTTCCATCTTATCTCACTGTGTGGAGTGTGTGTTCCATCTTACCTCACTGTGTAGAGTGTGTGTTCCATCTTACCTCACTGTGTAGAGTGTGTGTTCCATCTTACCTCACTGTGTAGAGTGTGTGTTCCATCTTACCTCACTGTGTAGAGTGTGTGTTCCATCTTACCTCACAGTTTGCAGTGTGTGTTCCACCTTAACAGTGTGGACTGCAGGAGAATGTTCACACTTCTCTGTGTGTTCACTCTCTTCTCTCATATATATACAAGTGTCACTTGGGTTGACAGCTGTCAGGTGTTTGAAACAACTGGCTTATTCCTTGCCACACCTGGTGTGACCCTACATCTGGTTTGGTGAATTTTTCTCGGTTTC